TGTGCCCCGAGACGTGAGGATCATGGTGCATCCCCATGTGACAGCAGTCAGCGAGCAGCCCCGGGTGGCAGATGGTGTAGTGAAGGTGCCACCAGCCAGCAAGGCCCCTCAGCAGCCAGGGAAAGAAGCTCCCAAGACAGATGCCAAAGCAGCCCCTGCGCCTCACAGCGAGGCCCGAATCCTCACAGTCACCCCCAGCAACCAGCTCCAGGGGCTGCCTCTGAGTCCACCTGTGGTGGTGACCCATGGGGTGCAGATCGTACACTCCAGTGGCGGGGAGCTGTTTCAGGAGTACAGATACGGGGACATCCGCACCTACCACGGCCCAGCTCAGCTCACGCACACTCAGTTTCCTGCCACCGCCTCCATTGGCCTGCCTTCCCGGACCAAGGCCCCCACTCAGGTAAGAGCACTGCAAGTCAGCCTTCTGGTGCAGACAGTGAGGTGCCAGTGTGGTCCCTCAAGTACGTCACTCTTAGTGGGTTTAAAGAGAAACTTTATAAATGTCAGGATGAAGGGATCAGATCACAGCACAGAGCGTAGGGACACAAGGGAGGAGCTCTTTCTGGGGACGGGTGGAGTGGAGTCTTCTGCCTGTGTGGGTGGGGAGGGAGGGAACGTTACCGCCTCTTACCAGAGCCTTCAATCCTGAGACCCCGAGAGCATCACTGACTGGTTAAAGCCCCTTCTGTGGGCCTAGCTGAGAGGAGATGCCCACAGCTGACCCTGCCTGGGGCGCAGGGGTCGGTAGGTTGGGGGCTGGGTGTTGCGCATAAGACTCTTACCTTGTCCCTTTCTCTTCCCTCCCAACTCCAGGGTCCCCCTCCTGAAGGTGAGCCCTTGCAGTCCACACAGCCTGCTCAGCAGCCTGTGCAGTCCACACAGTCTGCCCAGCCCATGCAGCCCTGCCAGCCCTGCCAGCCCTCACAGCTTAGCCAGCAGCCACCAAGCAGCAAAATGCCTCAGGTCTCCCAGGAGGCGAAGGGGACCCAGACAGGCATAGAGCAGCCTCGCCTCCCAACCATACCTGCAAACAGACCAGCTGAGCCTCATGTCCAGGTTCAGAGGACCCAGGCAGAAACAAGCCAGATCTACTCCTCCCCTGTGTCTGTCTCCATGAAGCCTGACCTTCCGGGCCCTCTCCCTGCTCAGGCTGCCCCTAAGCAGCCATTGTTTGTCCCCACAACCTCAGGCCCTAGCACCCCTCCAGGACTGGCTCTGCTGCACACTGAAGCCCAGCCTTCCCCCAAACAAGATTCTTCTCCACACTTGACTTCCCAGAGGCCTGTGGATATGGTCCAGCTTCTGAAGGTAAGCCTGGGAGGGGTCCCCCACTCCTCCCCTCCAAGCTTTGTGTTGTATTAAAATGTCCTAAGATCCCCACTTAGCCCAGCAAGCTGCTGCCTAGGGCCATGTCCGGCCATGAGCTCACTTCCTGTGTTTCCCCATGCACAGAAGTACCCTATCGTGTGGCAGGGCCTCCTGGCCCTCAAGAATGACACAGCTGCTGTGCAGCTCCACTTTGTCTCTGGCAACAACGTCCTGGCCCATCGGTCTCTGCCCCTCTCTGAAGGAGGCCCCCCCCTGAGGATTGCCCAGAGGATGCGGCTGGAGGCCTCACAGCTGGAAACGGTTGCCCGAAAAATGACGGTAAGACAGGGCCCAGGTGAACAACTGCCCTACCACAGGGATATAAGGTGTGGGTGGACCAGTCTGCCTGGCCTATCGTGGGTGCAGCAATGGTGTTCTTCGAGTGGATGATGGTGGGCATGTTGTGTCCTCTGGGGGTGTAAAATGCCTCGACATAAAGTGGCTTTTTTTTTTTTTTTCCCATATAACAAATTGAGGTGGACTTTAAGGTCCCTTCAGAGGTGGGGGCTTTTGTGGACACGGGAGCCAAATCCCCTGGCTGTGTGTTTTGTGAGGAGGCCCTGATCACTGACAGCCTTCTCTGTCCCAGGTGGAGTCAGAGTACTGTCTGCTGCTGGCTCTGCCCTGTGGCCGTGACCAAGAGGATGTCGTGAGCCAGACTGAGTCCCTCAAGGCTGCCTTCATCACCTATCTGCAGGCCAAGCAGGCGGCCGGAATCATCAATGTTCCCAACCCAGGCTCTAATCAGGTGAGCCCCATGCCCTGTGCTCCCTCTGCGCGCAGGCGGGCTGGGCCGGGCCCATCACGCAGTCTGACTGACTGGGTGGGTGGGCCGCTCGTGCCAGCTAGAGTCGCTCGGGAGTTTCTCAGATGAGGTGGGCAGTGGGCATTCTGGGTAAAGGACAGAGTACACGGGTGGGGCCACCACTGCCCATCGCGGAGACCATCCCGGGACAGCTTAGACAGTTTTTCTTTAGCTTAATGACAGGGAAGAGGGCCACAGAAGTAGCTCATGTTAGTGCCCTGGCCCCCAGCTTGCTTCTGGCGGACAGAGCCTGGACACCTTAGCTGGTCAGGAAGCTGACCCACCTGGCGCGCGCTCCATGTTGGCCTCCAGGTGGAGATGTTTAAAGGAGTGGCAGTGGGTGGGTGATGTGAGGTAGGGGTCCCACTTATCTCTCTGTCCCCCTCTCCAGCCCGCCTTCGTGCTGCAGATCTTCCCACCCTGCGAGTTCTCTGAGAGTCACCTGTCCCGCCTGGCCCCTGACCTTCTTGCCAGCATCTCCAACATTTCTCCCCACCTCATGATTGTCATTGCCTCTGTGTGAGCCCCTGGTCGGTCACCACTCGGTGTATTTTCCTGAGGCTCTGCAGCAAAAAACACAGGACAACCCAGCCAAGTGGAGGAAGACGCTGCCGAAGGGGACAGACTCCACTGCCGGACGGCCAGCAGCGCCCTCCCGCCTGCCCGCCGCTCAGGCTCCTGCGGACAGACCCTCTGGGCAGTGGTGCTGCTACTCTGTATGTTTACAAGATATTAGCCCAAGGACAGACCACCAACCGATGGACTCGCAGACACCTTGGGGCTGGGTTTCTCTCTTTTTGGAGATAAGGAACAGGGCAGTGGAATTAATTTTTTTTTGTTTTTGTTTTTAAGAAACAAGAAATTAGAACTGCCTTTGCACTAAATTAGTGACTTGGACTTTTGCATAGTGAAGACAGGCTGTGGCACTCGATGTCTTGGTGTACGTGACCACGTCACAGACTCAATGCAGGACTTCAAACTGCTGCTGAAACCTTGGGGTCAAGGAACATTTCATCGGGTTGTTTTGTCCCTGCCCACTCCCTTCCCCTTGCTCATTGCTGTCACCTCTCTCAACTCTCTTGCCACCACCACGTGACTCACCCGGGATGTACAGCTTACAGTTGAAAACGAGCAGACCGAAGGATTTTCTCTCTTGGTGGGATATGCAGAACTTGGGATGTGTGTATATATAAATATATATAATATATATAAATATATATAATACTGACTTAAAAAATCAAATTCCCGACATACATTTTTTTTAATCTGTGCCAAAAATGTGTTTTCAGAGAAAATCTTATTTTCATACTCAGACTTTGTATTGTCACTCATTTGTATAAGTGCGCTTCGTGACAGCTGGGCCCTGCCCCGCGACCTGAAGTGTCACACACAGACTACGAAAAGACTGGCTGCCCTCTTCCTACGTGACCTTGACCTCTCCCCACGACTTCCTAACACTTATTAATTTATGAAACTGTTTTTCTCAGCGCAGTTCTGTTTTGTGTGTCCATTGGATTACAAACTTTATTAAAAAATACAAAACATGTCGAGTGTGGGTGTGATTGTCACTCCGGCGGGAGGGCCCAGTAAGTCCTTGGCTTATGGGGATAGCTGGCCCTCATCCCACTGGCACTTTCATTCTGTGTAGGAACCTATTTCCTTCGGCCACTATACCCTTCCAAGGGTCAAAGATCTCGTTCGGGGTCTTCCTCACAGACGGCACTTGTACCGTCCTCAGTGCTGTGGTGTGTGTGACACCTCAAGGCTCTGGTCGGCTCCTGGAGAACCTAAGGCACTACGGGCGGGCCCAGCCCCCTGCACGCTCGGACTTCTCGCGAGCTTTGGCGCCAGGGCGCTTCGCCCTTCCTCGGGGTGTGGCGCAGGCCGGCCCTGAGGCTGTGCCGTGTTCCTGACAGGAGGCCGGGGCGGGGCCAGGCTTCCCCAGCAGCTGCACTACAGGCTGAGGAACGGGGCAGGGAGGGAACGGCCGCGGAGCTGGTGGTCTCTCTTGAAATATCCGCCGGGCTCCTCCAAACAGACCTATACTTTTGGTGCAAGAAGCTGCCATCTCCAAGTAGGGGGTTGCAGCTGCTGGGGACACACTATGGAGAAGGGGCAGAGGCGGCACCTGCTTCCCTGCTCCTGCTCCTGCTCCGAGTCTAGGCAGTGCTGCGTCTCCCGTCTCCCCATCAGGCTCCTAGCTGCTCACTGTCCCCCAGGCCCTCACCTCGTGGGCGAGACCAGTGATTCAGGGCAAGTCAGTTTTCCCAAAAGACGGCGCTGGCTCGGCCACGATCCTCAGGCCAGGGTTCCCGGGAAGTCAGTGTAGAGCCCTCCCGCTCCCCAGAGCCAGCAGGACCGGGCCGTGGCCTCTCGGGCCTGGTTCTCCCTGCCTGCCTTGCTGCTCTGGCTGAATGGCCCCCGAGCTGGGCTCCCTGGGTGGCCTGGATCCTGGTGGGCAGAGTGGCCAGGCCCTGCTGGCCCAGCTCCCAGCCCCCAGGCAGAGGGGGCGCTCCATGGCAGAGGGGAGGTGGGGTCCTCAAGGTGTACAGGTGAGAGGCCCCCGAAGAGAAGACCGGCTGAGGAGATGGGGCACATGGAGCCATGCTCTGGCCCCGAGTGCTGCCTACGTTCCAGCTCGGGCAAAGCAGCCAGCTTGCTTCCAGACGGGTCCCAGGGCTCCAATCCCAGTCCCATTCTGCAGAAGGGACAGCCTGGCCTTCCCAAGAAGCAGGTCCCTGCCAACTGGCCCCTGGGTGGAGCAGCTCTCTGTGGCATCGGCCAGCTCCCCATCCCCCACCCCCACAGGGAGCTGTAGGCAGCATTAGAAAATAATGAAATTTATTCTCTAGGGGAGCGGGCCACCCATCCTTAAATAAACAGTCAGGAAGAGGGACGCCTGCTCACTCAGCAGGCGGTGGACATTCTGGGGCTGTGGGGGGCGTCTCGGCCAGGGCGGGCTGGCCGTCGGCCCCATCCCGAGGGCGGAAGACCAGCTCCCCGGCCTGCAGCACCTGCCCGGCCGGCCACGTGCTGCCGGGCCCGTAGTGCTGGTAGAAGTCCGCGTCTGTCTGGAACATGACCAGCGCCTGTGCTGTGTGGATCCGCACGTGCTGGGCCAGGCTGTTGGCGTCTAGGAACTTGTCCCCACAGGAGTCACAGGCATAGAGGATATGGGTGTTGGGGTCTGTGGAGATGGGGCCACAGTCAGGATGGGAAGGACCCTTGGGGCACACCAGCCTTTGCACCCTGGGCACCCCTCTCACTCACCTTCTTCCTGCACTTGCTGCACAGCTTTGCTGATCTCGGCTTTAAGCACTTCTGTCTCGTCAGCGGTCACTGCTGCCCCCACTGGTAGCACTGTGGGCAGAATCAGAAGGGCCTAAGGCCAGAGGCACCTGCCCCTTCACTGCCACCCCAGAGGCAAGCTGCCCGTGACCACCCTCTGCTGCCCACAGCCCGCACCTGTGAGCTGAGTGACGGCCGTGGCTGCCAGTGCCTCGGTGGCCAGCGTGACCATGTCATCAACAGTGACCACGCTGACCTCGCCGCCCTCCTCTGGCTCCAGGATCTTGATGCCCGCCTTGCCCTGGTGCACGGTCTTCACGTGGGAACGGAGGTTGTCCACCCGGTTGAAGCCGCGACCACACTTGTCACACAGGTACGGCTTCTCTCCTGGGGGGGGAGGCAAGGTTCTCTCCTGCCATTGGGGGAGGGGGAGGACCTCAGTGGCCTCCAGCTTCCCCAGCAGCCCTGTCTTTTCCAGAAGGAAGTGCTCTGGGGCAGCCACCCGAGCTGCCAGCACCCGGGCTGCGATCTGGGGTGCCCCCCCCGGCAGGTGTGGGACAGGTGGCGCACGCACCGGTGTGAATGATGATGTGCTTGGACAGGTCCCCCACGTTCACGAAGGCCTTGCTGCACACGCTGCACTTGTGGGGGCGGATGTTGTCATGGTGGCGAATGTGATTGGCCAACTGGCTGGACTGGACGAATCTGCAGGGCCACAGGAGGGGCTGGCACCCAGCTGGGCTGGGCCTCCTACCTCCCCTTCTAGACTGGAGGGCCCACGGGACCTACAGCAGGGCTCAGGCAGCCGGCAGCCGTTCCCAGCTGAGCCCTAGCTTGTTTCCTGAATCCCTTCCCGTACAGAGTGTGGGGACCCCCTGGCACCCCGGGCGCGCTGGGATGGGGTGGGGCGTGGGGGCAGGACCTCTTGCCGCAGCGCTCGCAGACATAGGGCTTCTCCCCCGTGTGCTGGCGCACGTGGGCGATGAGCGAGCTGGCCTGGGTGAAGGCTTTGCCACACATCACACACTGGCACGGCTTCTCGCCTGGGGGCGGGGCAGCAGGTGTTGGTGCCTCCCCCTCCCTCCCTGCGCCC